CGTTTGAAGGCAAAGAGGCAGTTAAGGTGGACAAATAATTTTTATTCGTGCATGCAAATACATGTCAATACTGCAAACTTCTTCCATCACGTCTCTCAAACACCGAAAAACCGGGATGCTCTACTCCGCGACCAGCCACCGCTACAACCGCTTCACTTCAGTGCTACAGCAAACGCGCGCCCCGCCGGGCCCCCCTACTCCTAACACGAAGGGAAACATTGGGAACTCGGAACCGAAATAAACGGAATAGAATTTACTCCCCCATATATCCCCATTTCATTTTACAGATTTTTTTTTTTTATTTTAAATTATAGTTTTAAATAGAAGCTGAGAATGCGCCATAAAAATGAGCATTAAATCCATCGTAGCGATGGTGCCTGCTTTATACATGATGGGTGTACACCATCTTTTATTTCATTTACATTTCAATCGAACAATAGATTTGCAAAGAAAATGTCTAATACAGACGTAAAAATATTCACACTAGAGCTTCACAATCGGTTGTACAATTGACAAACAGGCCTCTTTTCCCAAACTTTCCAGCTAAGCAAATTTATAAAATGTAATCAATGCAACAAGAAAAAAAAAATTTTCTTTAAAACTTCCAGGGAAAAGAATACGCAGTAAACAGTATAAATGCGGACAGCAGATGCTGCAAGCTAACCACAATACTTCTGAGTGGCTGTACAGTGGGTATGTGCAGTACAAATAAAAGCCACGTGTTGTATCACAACTACCGTATAATGTACTTGTTTGCCCAGCTAAGAAAATGCATGCACTTCCATGCCTCGGGTTAACTGAGAGCTACTCCGGGTAAATCCATGGGCTATGTGCAAATGACCTTGGCTTTCGGCAGGAATAAACGCAGCCAGGCTCTGGTTTGTTCCAGCTTTTGCAGCAAAACCTTGAGCAATTAAAAGCTTCCACAAGCATCCTCCTTAAATACCAGGGTGCAATACTACGTTCAGGTATTGGTCATTTTTATTATTCTGATTTGGTTTATTTCCTCACTGACAGCTTGGGTTGTGTTTTTTGTGTGTGTGTGGTTTTTTTTTATTTTATTTTTTTTCCTTGTCGTGCTCCCTTGCCAGCAAAGAGAGACACGGTGATGACCACTGCCAAAGTCAGCTGTTCATTTATACCGGAAAATCGGGTCATTTCAAAAGCACATTTCTTGTATTCTGCTTGCAGAAGAGGTCCCTCGCGGAGAGGGAATTTCTGAACAGAGGGATTAAACTACAACGTAAAGAATGGACTTTTACGTACTATAGAAAATCTGGTCATTTCTCATTGTGTTACACTCTCAAATTCAACGTCTTCCTTTATTAACAGTCTAATAATAACGAAGTCTGTTCACAAGTATGATCGAGGAGCTGCTGGCATACAGTGTCTATGTACAGCAACAGGTACAACTTGTGCTTTCAAAAAAGCAAACAAAACCAATGTTTGGAACTATTCTGAGTTTAGATCAAGTTATTTTAAGCGTTCTTTCCTCAGCTGTTTCTGACCACCGTGCATTATTTTGTACCTCATCCAGCCTAGTACACTATTATACAAGAACAGCATTCAGCTCTTGAGTACAGGATAAATTAAAATTTCAATTGTGTTATCAAAGCACTAAAACCTTCCAAATTAGACTTCTACGAAGCGCAATTAAGAGCTTATTTAACATAATCAGCTGCGTACAACTTTTTTTCCTAAATTAAATGCCAAACTTTAGTGTCCCTGTACTAGACTACCAAGAACCAATGCCAGTTTGCTTTGCAAAGAGTCTAACCTTTCCTTTGAAGGGTCTAGTATACATTCTACAATGCAAAATCTGCATAAACGCTAAGATTCATTTCTTGTCACCTGTTTACAGGAACAAAATATCAGTAGCAGGGCAATCACTCTGCTATATGTTAAGAATGTACAGATTAATTACTTTCTCACACAAGCATTCTCCCAGCACAAGCATCAGTCTCTATTAAGACCTATGTGGAAAATGAGGCAAACCAAGGAATGAATCCAGGTAGTGAGGCAACACAATCAACTTAGATACTAATAATTCCTGTCTCTCTTGCATGTGAAATCCCTGCTGTACCCCTACCGGGGAAAAAAAAACAAAAACCCCAAATCAAAAAACCCCAAATGCTTGTCCAAGCAAAGCAAAAGAGCCAATCTCTTTCCCCAATCTGCTATGGGCCTTTTTTTCTGACAGCACAGGTAAGTTAGGCCAAAACCTACGTGGGAATCACTGCTACTCACACAAAAATAAGTCACTCTGTGTCAGCAAACAAGCCCTTCCGTAGCCCAAAGGCACCTGATTTACAACTAGACAAATGAATACATACTTGCTTGTATAGGGTCAGGGGCTGAAACTTCACCAAAGAAGAAAGCCAGAACTAGGTTCCCACCTGTAGCTTCTCCTTGTCAGGGCACTGGAGGGCACAGTTTCATGGCAAAAACCACAGAGCCAGTGTTAAAACCGCAAGACAAAGCTGGCATGCTGTTAAAACCCCCAAATGATTCTTTTGCCTGTCATTCTATATATTAAAAATTCAACTAAAAAACCCTAGCTTAGTTAAGAACCAGCTTTCCATATCAAGTGTATGGTCATCCTAGAGAACTGCTATACCACGGGAGCTCCTGCTGCAGACAAGAGTATATAGATATACTTGTTCTTAAATAGGCCAATGTGGTTGGCAGGAATATGTTAGGCTCATGTAATTTCACTGGACAAACAGGCAAATGTGTGTAAGCAGCTTATCCCAATCCCCCTCCAGCAGAGCACAACCAAGTTTTTAAAATTGCAATTTTAAAATTAAAAAGTTAAGGTAAATACACAATCAATTTATGTAGTATATATTCACCCTCAGATCATGCTGAAGATGTTCTGTGGAGTTCTGGTGCACAGAGGGCTCTTTC